CACACACACACACACACACACACACACACACACACACACACACATACATATACATATATATATATATATATAAAGAGAGAGAGAAATCAAAATTCGTGCTAACAAAATGGTCTTAGAAATCTGAATAACTACCGGAATGAATAAAAAAAACATCCACTAATAAACAAAGATACAATTCAGATGATCAGAGCATTACAGGCTTATCGGAATATTTCTTTTCTAAGAATTCCAAATCAGGCAACACATGCATGCAATTGATGCAGCAATATGTCCAGAAGTCCAGCAAAACCACCCTACCTTTCAGATTCTGCAGCAAAAGGAGAAATTGATTTAGAATAGTAACATATCTAAAAGGTTGCAAGATTCCACCCATCAAACATTTATAGTAGTCATTCACTTCAATGTGAAGTGGATCTCCATTTTCCACTAAACAAGGCAGCCTAAGAGTAATATAAAAAAGAAAAAAAAAAAAAAAAAAAAAAAAAAAGACTTACCATTCAAATTCAGACCAGATGTTTTTGCGTTGAGAGGAGCTGTTTAACATTTATATTCAAGGTCCCAAAACATTTAGAACACGAGGTTTAAGGCCTATTACACATTTACGAAATACCAACTGTAACTTTCAGTAATATAGTTTTTCTTTAGGTTAACTAACCACTTTTATGCATCTTGTATGAATGCATACCATGCCTACAAAAGTATCTCGGAATTCTCACATTACTATTTTATTTCCTTCAGGTCTATACCATGCCTCCATCTCTAGTGATTTCGGTATCACTGTTCACAGGTTTGTATGGTTCTCTATTTCCTTGAACAGAGAAACAAACTTTAAGTGTTTGGTCAAACTAATGTATAAAATGCTCATCAAGAAGAAAGCGGAAAAACAGTTTTCTTAACTGTCGTTTTGATGACTTCCAAAAGCTTCCACAAAATTTAGATGTTATATTTAGTAAATAAATACAATTAAGATTTTAATTAATTATAAATTATTTAAGATCAGTTTAATAAAAATAAGTTTTTATTTTAATATTTATGATGCTGAAGTTAATTCAAACAACAATAAAAAAAATAAAAACTATCATTCCTGAAACAAAATAGGTGATTACAATCAACACGTCTAAAAGAAAAAATACAATAGTACGACACCCGGAAATTTTAAATAATAATAAACACGACACAAATCCTCAACTATGGTAGCTCTCGAGTGAGGGTGCTGGCAGTTAGACGTTTGGAAAGGTGTTGACAAGGTCGAAAAGGTGGACAATGTCGGAAAGGTGCAGGGCTGTGGGGCAATAGTGGCAAGGCGGCATCAGCTTGCTGTCTGGAGAGGCAGCAAGCAAAAAATTGTTGTAACCACCAGTAATCAATAAGAACCGACTCTTCTGAGGCGCTAGAATGATGGAGGGCCGCAGTGGGGTAACTTTCCAGGGCAGTGCCAAGTCCGGAGGGTTAAGTATTGCAGGAAAACAGGGATTTCCTACAGTTTCAGGGTGGCGGCAGCGAGCGGGAATGACAGGAACAGCAGTGGGAAGACGTGTAATTGTCGGAAAGCAAAGGGAGGGCTGTCCCAAGGTTCCGGCAGCGAGGGGAAGCCGGATAGCAAAGACAGACAGCTAAAATGCCGCGGTTGGAAAAAATGGCAGCCAGAGGAGGACGTTGTGGCTAGCTTCTAGAGTTGCAGGAAGACAGCATAAGTGTTTTCCGGTGGTTCCGGCAGTGAGGTAAGGTGTTGAGGATGGGAATTCGAGGATATATATCTTTGTTGGATCAAACAACAGTCCAAGCACCACTCAATACTTGGGAGATGGGCATCACCACGAGCGAATTACAGCTAGAGTACATTTTTGCCTTCAAATACAACCCTAAAAGGGGAACACCGTAAGACGATAGCTTTGTTGAAGAGAAACATACAAAAAAACTCATCAAGAACATGAAAACAACATTTTTATAGACTTAGGGTAAATAATAGTCGACCATGCTCTAATTAAGTGGGAAATACACGTAATGAAAGTGTCGTCCGGCCCTCCTGATCCGATCCAATCCACAAGCTCCCGTAACAAAATGCATTTGGCATGATTTTGAACTCTGTAGCCCGTCTCATGTGTCACGACCCGCCCCGAGGCTTGGAATTAATCAAGTCTGGAACGGACAGTCAAACAGTGAAAAGTATAACTCTGCTATTTTATTTCTATTACTAACACTCAATATTCAAATAATAAATAAAAGAGGCACTAAGGAAATCACTAAAATATAATAAGTAAAAATTTATATATTTCTGATTGTTGTTCATGTCTCTTGTATACATTTTTCCTTCTTCTATTCATCTTGTTCAAATATTTAAAATTTAAATATAATTTTAAAGCAACATGATGAGTTATCTAAAAATAATCCAGGAGTAATTACACTTCTATACTACAGTAATCAAAGAAAAAGAATTCAATATGCATGCGAGTCTATCAGAAATCTTATAATATGTTGGTCATTCATATTTTTATATAAGTAATCTAATATATGTTAATTCATGCACCAATGACCTTTTCTAAATGAAAAGACTCAATCATCTATAAGCATTTACTTTATCTTTAAATTTATTTTATAAATTACATAAACATCTATCTCTATGAGGATCACTGTCAACAAACCTAACACACCTTTGGCTGATAGTCTTGTCGACTTCCGTCGGCATAGCAGTTAGGGATCAATATAAATCAATTGTATAGGGTGAAAAGGTCTTTACCGGCCCTTGACCGATATTATTTCGTTGGCACATAGGTTAGAAATGTAAAAATTACAAATGCCTACCGAGGTAAGCTCTAGTCTACTCGCCCATGACTAATATTATCTCGTTGACACAGCGGTTAATGAACAAACTTTCACAATTGTTTGGGGTGGCAGAAAAACTCTACACGTGTAAGTACACTAGTGTCCCCTGCTTGTACCATTAGGTGGTGAACTCCTTTGAACATGCACATACAAACATTCATATATAAGTTATTTGATTTTTCATAACATACATTATTCTGAGATATCATTATGCATCTACTAACATACATATTTACTCAGTTATGCAATTATTCATCATACCTATTATCACAACCCGACACAGGGCTTGGAGTTAACCAAGGCGGGAACGGGCGGTCGGATGATGGAAATCAATTCCCTGTCGTTTTAACTTTATCACTAACAATTTAATATTCAAAATAATACGTGAAAGAGTCACTAAAGAAAGTACTTAAAATTAACTAGAAATTATACATTTCTTGTTACTGTTACGATCTTCTATCTACATTTGCTCTTCTATTCATATTATATATAAATTTAAAACCTAAAAATAATATTAAAACAACATAATGAGTTACCTAAAGATAACCCATGAGTAATCACACTTCTAAACTACAATAATCTAAGGAGAAGAATTTAATATGCATGTTGTGAGTCTATAAGAAATCATACAATATATTGGTCTTTTATATTTTATAAGCAATCTGATATATATACATAATATGCTGGTCATTCATATTTTATAAGCAATCCGATATATATACTTATAAGTAACCTGATATATGCTAATACATGCATCGATAACCATTTTTCTGAATGAACATATTCAATCTACTATAAGCATCTACTTTAACTTTACTTTTATTTTAAACTTTAAATACACATTTATCTGTGAAGATCACCATCAATAAATCTAACACACCCTTGGCAGATATTACCCAGTCAGGTCCCGTCGGCACAACATTTAGCGATCTACACATCACAATTTTCTAGGGTGAAAAGACCCTTACCTGCCCCTGACTGATATTATCCCGTTGGCACATAAATTAGTAATGTAAACATTATAATTGTCTACGGAGATAAACACTGATCTACTTGCCTCTGACCAATATTATCCTGTCGGCACAATTGTTAGTGAACTAACTATCATAGTTGTACGCACGGACACAATGGCATCCTCAGTGGCGGGAGGCCTCAGTCGTCCTAGAGGGGATTGAGGAGGAGAGTGAATTACCTAAGATGATACAGTCGCTACTAGCTAGCTTCCTTGATGTAATGATTGAAAAATTACCTAAGGGACGACCACTTAGAGACATTCAGCATGCTATAGACCTTATCCGTGAATTGGTGTTACCAAACATGCTTACTTATAGATTGAGACCAGTTGAGTATGAGTTGCAACGACAAGTACAAAACCTTATTGTTATAGGGTTCGTGAGGGAGAGCACTGATTTTGTTCTTGCTTTGATAGTGGCTAAAAAGTATGGTTTGGGGAGGATGTGTATTGATAGCTGAGCTATCAGAAAGATCACCATGATGTACAGATTTCATATACCTCGCCTAGATGATTGTCTAGATCAACTGCAAGGAATTATCATTTTTCCAATCTTTACCGGTGTAATGAATATCACCAAATCAGGATGAGATCAGGGGATGAATGGAATACTGCATTCAAGACAAGAGATAGGTTGTATGAGTGGACAATTATACCCTTTGGACTGTCAAATGCACCTAGCATTTTCTTGAGCTTAATGAATCGGGTGTTTAGGACTTACTTAAGAAAGTTCGTAGTTATGTACTTTGATGACAACCTATTAGGTCCAGGGTTATTGTAGGCCAAACGGCCTCTAGTTTCGGGAGTGCCAGTATTTTTTAAGAGGGGGTCGACTACTAATTATTTAGAAATATATATTTATTTTTGTTAGTATTTAGGATTCAAATTTTTCTATGATTTGCTGTGGAACAACCGTTGGTATCTCCTTCTCCCTTTACGGGTTGTATCCTAGAGTTCCAAATGGGCAGTTGTATCTTGGTCTCTAGGTGGTATTTACCATTCCTATACTTTTCCGCCATCCCTTCTGCATCACTCCCACATCCCCTTCGTTGTTGGCCTACTATGGCCACCCAAAAAACAAGAAACCCTAATAGACCACCTACATTCTATTCCCTAGTATTTCCCATTGTTATTTATTTTTAGTTTGTTGTATTTTCAATTTCAGGATTCTATAAAACTACAAGAGGTTATGTAGTATTTTTCCTCACCTTGTTTTCATACCAATTTCGGTATCACTGATTAGTTCAGTTCATGACATTCAACATGAGCCTAGCAAGATTGAAAATTCATTGTGCCAAGAAAAACCCTATCTGACATTGACAAGATAACTTGTTGAATTGATTAAAAGAAAATGCAGGACATTCCATAAGACTACCAAACTGAACAAACTAACTATTAATCAACGATCTAATGTAAAAATTAAAAAAATCAACTTATATGAGCTCAGTGACAAAGGTATGCTCCAAATGCTTCTACAACTTACCAAAGAAACTGGTGACAAAATAAAAATCAAAATATCAACCTTTCCAAAAAAATACAAGATGGTCTCCAAATGTCAGAATTTATGGAAGTAAGAAAAAAAAATGTGAAAAAAAACACACAAAACATTCAATTAGAACGAAAATGAATAAGCAACATCAGCATGCTATGAAAAGAAATTTATCATTATAAATCATGAACCCTGGAAAATTGAAGTGGAGCTGTGTTCAGCCAGTCAAGCTTGGTTGGAAATTCAGGCATGGTTGATGCAGTCCCCCTAAAGAAACAAAGAAACAGTGGTCATAATAAATAACAAATAAGATTTTGTTAAGAAAGCACCATCTTTCTTATCAATAGAGAAGATGAAATTTTTTAAATACTAAATACCTGGATTCTAAATCAGATATATAGCCTTTGAGATGTTGAATTCTAGATGACCGGGGCTCTCCAATCAAATATAAAACATTTAAAAAAGACAATTAATTGGCATTGTATGAAAAAAAAAATATGAAACAAATATGATCATAAAAAGGAACAGTATTTCCATTTTTTTTTCTTGAACAAAGGCTGTTGCAACAACGCTTTAGAGCATACAGTAGAAAAAATTTGAAGTAGATTATCAAAATTTTAATCATGAAACTTCTGGTAAATTGGGGAGATTAATAGAGATTAAAATGATATGTTACATATTAGAAGCATTTTGAAATATAACAAAATAAAAATTAGGTAGTAATACAGAATATAGAACGTTAACTCCGTGAAGAAAAATGCATAAACACTAATACAGAGATGAATATTGAGTAACGAAGTTAATTATATCATGCAACACATGCGCAAACTACCTCCATTCTGTCCAAATACTGGTTTTCTGCCCCATGAAAACAGATTAAGTACTCCGTTCAAAGATGCATACTGCATGGCCTGCAAAGGCAAGTTAATTTTAGAATATAAAAAGGAAAATGTGAAAATATGTGTTAAAATTAGCACTTCACGTTTTAAATTATTTACTTATGCTACGAGGGACTGCAAGATCAAACAAAATATCACTCTAGCAATAAGCAATTAAATAAGGGATACACATCACAAATTCAAGATGCAATATTTCTAGAATTCCTAATCAAAATGATATCTTCAAGTTTAACATGCTAGGATTAGTAGGATGCATGACAACCAATCACAGGTTGAGGCAAAATCTTAGAATCATCGGATTATTGAATCCTCAAGAAAAGCTATTGAATTCCTAAAGCACATAAATGAAAAAACATCCATCAAACCTTATTTTCAAGAGCTAAACTCAAAAGATTTATAATAGTAAGGCTTATTTCAAATGCCAAAACTACCTTAGACGAATAAGTACCAAATGAATCATGAAAATGAGAAAGCCACTAATAATTAACTTAAATTCAACAGCAAATAAACTAACATAAAACTTCACACATCAACAAAGCCAATGGCACAATGACTACAAAAAAAAGATGCTTTGCAATCCACTTGTTTGAAAAGAAGTCCATACTACAGAGTTTAAAAGTTAAAAGAAAAAAAGTTGATTTTATGATGCATTTTCTAGTTAACAAAATCCACCGTATAGGAGACCAGTTCCCAATAAATCATAAGACCATGGAAGAAATAGTTCTACCCCATGGTAAAAGCAACAAAGAATATCAATCGATAAGTTCAACATCCTCAACTACTTGAAATACAAGTTAAAAAAAAGCACATTGTCTAAATCTATTTTAAAGAAGGAGAAACAAAACAAAAATCCATCTTGATAAAAGATGAAGTAGAATTCATCCCAACAAGTAAAGATGAATATAAAAACCATCATGAGGTGAGAGAAAAAAAGAAACAATACTGCAATAGCATAAGGCTCCAATCATGAATCGTAGATAATATTCTCAATTAACTCTAGATATTCGATTCTAGAAGTACTCTTCATGAACAAGGAAAGACTGGTCTCAAATGAATCTTCTTGTTTGGAGATATAATCAAAATGAAACTATTTTTCTTGTGCTTATTGAACAGATAATTGAAATGGGTCGGGTGATTAGCTCAAGTTGAGATTTATTTACCCAAAGGATTTGTTTTTCAATGGGATAACAAATGGTGAAATGTGGGTTCCGAATTTAAAAAGGGAGAGATTCACGAGATAACATAGAGACTGAAGAAATTTGGTTACAGGTTGTTGCTGAGAAAAAGATTGATTAGAATAGGAATAAAAAAGAACTAAATTTTGAAGGTTTATTACTATTTTGTTGAAGGAAAATAATGAGATTCAGAAAAGCAGAACAATTGGATACTGTATGGAATGTATTAGGAATTTTATGAATTTCGACTCAAGGTAAACTTTTTAATTATTTAAATGCCTCTTTGAATCAGAAATTAAACTTAAAATTAAAATTAATTAAAATATAAGGATTGAAATTAAATAGATGTGGCTGAGATTTTCATGGAAAATTTGTGTAGACGATTTGAAATGAATTTTTTTTAATAGATGGGCAAACAGTTACTGTTCATGTGTCCCTGGAAGAATAAAGGGACTGGACAGCTTTTGCTAGGCTCAAGGCAAGGAACTAAATCCACAACTAAAATATCCAAACGTCCATCAGGAGGCTGAAATATTCATAGAACTAGAATTCAAAAGATTTCGTCCAAGGCCATCTAAATTGCATAAATCTATTACACAAGTATAAGAATAGGACTTAGATCAATTTATGAAACAATAATTAATGAATACATAAATGCAAATGTAGTAATAAATGATAAAGGGAACATAAATAGCTAACAATTAACTTAAGTATAACTAATGATAAACTAACTAATGATAAACTAACACTAAACAAAACCAATAAACTAGTTGGTAACAATTTCATTGACAACCATATGTAAACATCTTAAATGCCATCATAATGTTTCTCGAATCATTAATCAACTTCAGAAGTCAAGAATTGGTTGGATTTATCAGAGATCTTCTTACCGTAAATGCATCCAATTAGCATATTAACCCATATCTACAGTAGTTATTGCCCAACACCAGTGGTTTAGTACCAATGGCTCTGTTTACTCATAAGTTGATAAAGGTACAAGGAAGAAAATCTCAAAGGAATTATATGTATTAAATAATATTTTCTCTAGACATCATGAGAATTGTAGAATCAGCACAAAAAAAAATTAAGAATATGCCTACCTTGTTGAGGTGGCTTTTCCAAGGACAACCGTGAAACTGGGCTTTGGAATTTCAGGATGGGTTAACAAAAAACAAGTGAACAGAAATGATAGGGCCTTTGCAACAGTAAGATTGAGTTGTAGAACATGGCGAAAGCTGTTGTCAAAAGATAGAGGGTATGTAGTGACAATAAAAGAAACTGTAAAAGCAAAGAATACGAAGAGATAAGCTAATTTTCTGTTTGGATATAAGAAAGAAATATGCAATCAGCAAGAGACATGCAAATCAGCACTACTTATCAGGAGTGGCCTGAGACTGTGGCTGAGACTTGCTAGTAGGCCAAGGCACTAAGTGATTTGGAACACTTCTAGGCTTTCAACTAAATAATCAACCTACTTATTTCTTTTCTATAAAAATTGAAATGGAGACAGAATGAGATCTAATTAAATGAAAAATCTTTTATGTTGTCCATAAAAAGCATCACCATTTTAGTACCTTCAAGTTTGAGAGAGCAAAAAGTAGACATGACATGGCAATTCCCAAACTTCCAAATCTCAGAATATCTCGCCGAGGACCTTGAAATCTGTAAATAAAATAGTTTCAAGTTAATCCCTGGAAGTGATGTTTCTCATCACGGCATACATATAAAGGTCTAAGAAAAACAGTTATGAGGGCAACAGATTCCTTTGGATTTTTTATGCTAAAAGAATGAAACTCTATCATGGTACAAAGACGTGATAAAATGAGGAAAAAAGTTTAATATAATTGCCCCCTTTATTGGGTCGGATTGAAAGGATTCTCATATTTTTTTCTTTCTTCTTCGGCTTCCATGAAAAAAAAAAAACAGACTAATATTAACTAGAACTTCTAAACATTTGAAAATTCAAAAACTTATCATAATATATAGCTAAAAGAACATTATTCACCATACAGAGATCAAGGATAACTTTAAAGAAAAACATAATACTGGCTGTTAATAGCAAAATTTAATTTATTAATAGATGATTATTGGCATCATTATCCTATTTAGCCTTATCCCAACTTTAGGGATCAATTTTGTGAACCCCATAAGCAAAAGAATATAATCAATACTTAGATTATCACAAACATAAGTTGAAAGGAGCCAACATTGTTGACTAAGGATAATGGCGGTCTGAGCCAATGCACTTCATGTCAAGGTTAAATTAGTAAATCCAGTTTAACAATACATCTTCCCAAAGAAGGATTATATTAAAAAAATATGACTCCTCTGCGGCTTCTTTGCGCTCACAGCGTCCTCCTTCTTTCTTTCAAAGTTTTTGATGGCTTCAGACAGATCGTATGCAGCTGCCCTTGTGGGTGTCCACGCCTCAGACACACCTAAATCGCCATATTTAGTTTTTACCTCCTTCGCTAGAGTTGGCGGAGGACATCAGAAAACCTAGAATGAAGAATGGGAAGTCTGTCATCTTTTTACAGAAGCTGAAGGTATTCAACTTACTTCCTCTTGTCGTCTGAATTTGGTTGGAAAATTTCTATATGGTCATCCCAAAATGGAGTTTATTTGCAAAAAATTTAAACTTATGCACTTTGTTGAAGAGTGAAAAATTAGACTACTAGATGGGAGGCACATTCTTATTCAAATTATTAATGAAGATCGATTACTTGTGCTTATTTGCTAAAAGGATAATATGGATTGATAACAGAGCGATGAAGATTCTAAAATGGTTTGCGAATTTCGACCCACAGACGAAACCACCAATCATTCCGGTTTGGATTCGTCTCCCTGGTCTGAAATCTCATTATTTTTCTCAAAAAGTATTGTACTCTATTGCCTTAGCTTATGGAAAGTCACTCAAGACGGACATTCCTACTTTTAATCTTTCTTGTTCATCTAAAGTCAGAATACTTATTGAAAGAGACATCACTACACCCGCTTCCGAGAAAATCTAGTTGGGCACACAACACCAAGGATATTGGTAGAAGGTAGAGACTGAGCCTTTTCCGCCGTATTGTTCGAACTGTCGTATGTTCGGACACTTCAATTCTCAATGTCATCATCTACACCCCCACCTTAGACTAAAAAAGTAAACTGCTCTGCTGTGATTCCACCTCCTCCGGATCAGCTCCAAGTTTTTCACACTATTGATCATCAGAAAGATACCTCAGAAGACATCACTTTCCCTGCAGGCAATATGTCAACCATTCAGTCCCCACTTGTAGCTCCCCCATCTTTGGAACCTCCTATCGTGGGGGAAAGAGAGATTCTCCAGACCCCATCTGTCTTAGAACCTATTACCGATAATACAGGTGGAAATATTTCTACTATCACTACTGTCTCATCAGGTCCAGAAAGATGTTGGTATTACTCAGGCTCATGGGGATCATGATGTGCAACGACCTACAACTGTCCGACCACCTTTGGAATCTACTAATAAAATGAGTCAATCATCGGATGAGAAATGGCAGGGTTTCACATCCAGGAGGAAGAAGAAAAATGAAAATCTACTTGAGCTCAGGAATCTGATGGATGATACTTTGATTACTACGGGAAATGATACTCACCTTACTAATTTGTTAGCCGGCTCACTTCCGGAAACTAGAGGCAGGAGAATTGAAGTGAGACGCACCTAGCACTTTTATGCCCTTTTGTGGCTTTTGATTTTTTTTCTTTATGTATATTTATTTTATTTGAGTTTTGTGTGTTGTTTTGTATGAGTTAGGCTTTCTTTTAGGTTCTCTCATGCAATATTTTAGGCTTTTATAAAAAAATTTATATATTAAAAAAATGTGGCATTCACATGCAAACCACACAATTCCTATATATTTACATATTTATAACCTAGGTTTTACATTTTTACATTTATACCACACGAATATTTCATATCACATCGAAAATCCCATTATTCTAACTTTTAAAAAGTGAAATACATCTTTTCTAGCATAAGTAAGGTGCCATGTATGTAAAAATTGAAGTTTAGGTGTTAGATATGTAAATACATAAAAATTGAGTGGTATGTATTTAGGTATTCCTAAGAAAAATAGTGAACAGGGCAACAATGATTAGAATGAATCGATAAGCCAGCTCTTGGTAAAAGGAGCAACGAGATAGATAGGAAAGGTTAGAAAGCGACGAAGAAAAGCAAAAAGAGAGCAAGATGCAAGAAAGAGAACTAGCGACAATAAGAGGAAGACCAATAGTGAGCAATAGACAGTAAAAAAAAGATCAAGAGAAAAGGGGTGAAAAAAAGGGAGATTGAAAGAAAAAGAATAAGTGACATCAAGACAGAGAGAGCAAATGGTCAACAATGAGCTTAGTGACGTGGTCAAGATTAGAATTATTCACTACCATTATTTTTATTCCAAAAACGTAAGGGTTGACCTAAAATTTCAGTTATAAATCAATAAAACCTAAGGTTGTTCTTTGATTTAGAAGTCAATTTTGACGGAACTTTTAGATGCAAAGAAAAATAAAACAAAGAAAATAAAAAATTTGGAAAGAGGGAGAAGATTTTAAGGTTTGGAAATTAACTAAAAAAATTACCATTTTATTCAATCTTAAGGTTTGAAGTAATTTTAAAATCTTTAAACATTTTAAGAAAAAGGAATTAAGAAAATTCGAATTTAGTTGTAAAGTAGTATTAAATATTAAATTAGAGATGCCAAACAGTAATGATAGTTAAATAAGGATAACAAAGTAAGATTAATGTAATTGATTAAAAAGAAGATCTTATTAGTGCAAGTATATGCATGGAGTTTTATGAAATTAGTGCAAGTCAATAGACCTGATGCAATACATAATAGAAATTAGCACATTTTCGAGGAATAAAATTAAAATGATTCATAATGCAAAAGAAAAGTACCATAGATTCTTTTTGGGATTAAGAGATGTGACAAACAACATTTAGCTCTTTAACTAATAGATAATTATTTTGTGCTAGTGGAGAGAGTTAGAGGGTTGAGCTGTACCTTGTTGACCTCATTTTCGGTGAGGTCTTGGCATTTTCCTCCTAGAACCTAGGATCTAGCTTTAAGAGTTTCTTATTGACCATCCTAGCGGACTAGTAACGGAATCCACCTCACATAGAACTTTGAACCACTTCTTGACCCACATTTTTGTGGACCTCGCATGAGTAGTCCCAAGCACTCAACTCTTAGTTGCAAGGGCTAAAGACTAACATGTAGAGGGCTCAAAAATGGGTTCTCATAAGATCAGACAGCCTTAGGAATACCCATTTCGACATTCACACATACATTTACATACACCGCGCGAAAACATCACAATTCACGTTGCTAAGGCTTACATACTTTATACCACCAAAATCATTTTTAAAATGAACTGCCACAACCCAAAGTTCAAAGAAAATCAAATTTGTTGTATTTTTTGTCTGACTGTCGACGAACTAATCTGGATGACCCCGTATAATGAAACAGACCACGCGGACACGTCCGGAACATCAACTTTAGCTAGGAAGGACACTCATATTGTTATGGTCCCGCACGGGATCAAACGACACGAAAATTGATGCGTGTAAAAATTTAATTAAAGGAGGCGAGTCTAAGCTCAGCCCAGGTGCAATTCTGGTTCAATTCGGGCTAGAAACGGGCTGAACACGCGCTAAATGATTTCAAATTTAAAATTTTGTATTACAAAATTAAACGCCCAATTCAACTTTAATAGTTTAATCAGGAGTTATGATTTGCCAAACAAAACTCCTCCAAGCATGGAAATCATCTAATTCCCAAAATAGCAGACCGTTTTTTTTTTAATTCTCGGGATATACAAGCTTCGGTCGGCTCCCCAAGGGCTCATTGGACTCGTTTTCCTCTCACGACTGAAAGAAAAAAAAAATCCCACGACCAAAACCCGTCTGCTCTCCACTCGACCGAAACCCTTGCTGCTCTTCCTCATTCGATCGAAGCCGCACACCTCCTCTTCGCCTCCTCCCTGCACCGAAGCCCTCCCTCGTCTCCTGCCTCCTCTGCACCGAAGCCTTCGAACCCTCCTCTTCGGAACCCCCTTCCGCTCCGCTCTCCCACAAGCTCCTCCTCTCATCGCGTCGAACAGCCGCTCAGCTCGCTTCGCCCTTTGCACCGAAACCCTAGCCAAATCTTTCTTCCCCTCCTTCATCCAAGCATTGGAAAGTGAGATTCTTTTCCCCTCCTCTTGATTTGTTTCATCTATGGATTTTCTTTTGGTTACTTTTAATTTTTTTTAAGTTTGATATAATGCTAATGATGGTCCTGCAATGATCTTTAAAAGGTCATGAGGGAGTTTCTCTGAGTAATTTTTTTTAAATTCGTTGTATTTTTATGGTTGCCCCTTATCTTCATTATATGAGCAATATTATTCTCTGCCCTGCAACACTTTTGAGCTTTGCATATTTAAAGATGATTTTGTTGTCAGGAAAAGAAAGATAAAGTAGCTTGTGATTATTTGTTATTCTAGTATTTAATTTATGCATCATGCTTGTCAAGGTGGAATGATATATGAAGAAGCTCATGGTATCACATGTCTCTAATCCTGTATTTGTTTTTTTTTTTTTTTTTTTTGTTCTTGAAATATTTCTTTATATCCTTTTGATATTTTTAATCAGCTAGGAT